CAACCTCTGCCTCCCAAGTAGCTGAGGGTTCAAGTGATTTTCCCACCTCAGCCTCCCAAATAGCTGGGATCACAAGCACGCACCACCATGCCCAGCTAATTTTTGCATTTTTAGTAGAGATGAGGTTTCACCATACTGGCCAGGCTGGTCTTGAACCCCTGACCTCAAGTGATCTGCCCCTCTCGTCCTCCCAAAGTGCTGGGATTACAGACATGAGCCACCACGCCCAGTCTAGAGTTTGGAGATTTTTAGAGAACTCACTGAGGAAGGTTCAAGGCTTTTGGGGGTGCTGGGAGGTCAGTGGGACCCCCCTGGGGCCTAGGAATTCAGTGATGCCTGCCAGGCCTGAGAATCTCTAGGTCTGGAAGTCTGCGTCTGGGGTCATGGGTTTGGGGTGCCTGCATTAAGGCTTGAGGATTGAATGGTTCAAGTTCTGAGGCCGAGGTTGCCAAGTCTGGGGTCAGGGCCTAGGGGTCCTGGGTTTGGTGGTCCTCAGATCTGGGGTCTCTGGGTCTGAGGGTCCAGCTCAGGGGTTTGGAGTCTCGGATTTGGGGGTCACTGGGACTGGGTTATGGGTCTTGGTCCCAGGTCTCCAGGTCCCAAAGCATTGGGTCTGGGGTCCTCAGCTCTAGGCAGCCCCTGGTCTACAGACTTTGCAGGTGTGGGCTCCAGGGTCTGGCTGTCTACTGTCGGGGGTCCTAGGTCTGATATTGCATTCTGGGGTGCCATGTCTGGGGGCCCCATCCCAAGACTGACTCACCGGTCATGGCCCTGGCCAGCCAGCAGGGCATGGGCATAGGCATCCAACGACGCTGCTGGGTCCTCCCTGGTGAGCCCCGCGGGCTCAGCGTCCAGTGACACAAAGAAAGCGGCCCCTTCCACTGCCTCCAGGGCCTCTGCTGCCTGGGTCTTCAGGGACGTTCGCACCTGGGCCCACGTGCCCCTGGAGGGCCCGGGATGTGCCTGAGTCCATCCTGCCCAGCCGCCACCTGGTCCCACCCTGCCCTTCCATGGCCCCAGGACACTGGCGGCCTCTGAGAGCCCCTGACCCCTGACCCCCGACCCTTACCTGGGAGCAGCGGTCAGAGCAGCCAGATGTTCCTCGTGGGGGCAGGCCGGTGAGGGATCATCCAGGATTCGCTGAAACTGCTGCTCCAGGGCCCTCGGGGAAAGCAGGCTGTTTCGGGAGTGGGTCCCTACGCGGAAGAATCGGCCCCGGTGGAAGACAGCCACGTGTTGGCTGTCATGGAGGTGGCGGATGTAGTCTAGGGGTGGCGTTGGCAGAAGCGTGGGGACAGGCCAGACACATAAAAATAGCGACCATTTATTATATGCTGCTTAGGTGTCATCAGTTGTTCAAAGCACCCTAGTAATCATCAGCACCCTAGGACTTTTGGTTTTTGGAGACAGGGTCTCGCTCTGTCGCCCAGGCTGGAGTGCAGTGGTGAGATCTCAGCTCACTGCAGCCTCAACCTCCTGGACTCAGGCAATCCTCCCACTTCAGGGTCCTGAGCAGCTGGGACTGCAGGCGCATACCACCATGCCTGGCTAATTTTTGAATTTTTCATATAGATCGGATCTCACTACGTTGCCCTAGGCTGGTCTCGAACTCCTGGCCTAAGCAATCGTCCACCTCGGCCCCCCAAAGTGCTGGGATTACAGGCATAAGTCACTGTGCCCAGCTCCTAGGTACAATTATTATCCCACTTTAGTGGAAGCCGAGGCTCAGAGAGGGTAATAACGTGCAGAAGGTCACACAGCAAGGATGCAATGGGTCCCAGCTCAGGCAGGCGGACTCCAGAAAACATGCTCTTAGCCACTATATTGTTCTGCCTCCATCAGTGGGGACAGGAGAGGGTCTCACCTTTTTGGACCCCTGGAATCCGCGTGGTGTTGAAGATCTTCTCATACTGGGCAGAGCATAAGGGACGCATTCCCATTAGCAAAGTCTGCAGGAAACCGTGGGCTGTGAGCTGCCTTCCAGGACCCATGTGGCCCAAAGGCCACAGGACCACACCTCCATCCCCAGCCCACTGGGGCCCTCTTACCGGGGGTATCTCCTGGCGGTTCAGGCGGTGGCGGTACAGGAGGAGGGCGTGGACGGCATTCCCAGCTCGAGCTGCCTGCAGAGGCGTGGGTGTGACATACAGGAAGTCCTGGGGACCAGGAGAGGGGACGGCAAAACACCCGGGGTCAGGTTTACCCTTGATGGAACCACTGACCCAAATACAGGTCCCGACCCCAAAAGAGGGCGGAACGATGAATCCCAGATGGTGCGTCCAGATCCAGGTCACTGAGCATGAATGTCACATTCCATCCAGGTACCCCAACCCTAGACCTGGGGCCTGTGAACCTCACCCTCCCCTTCTCACCATCATGTAATAGTTGCTGTTCACCATCAGCGGATTTCGGGAGCGCAGGTACACAAATTCCTCCCACCAGTCACTGACCTGGGAGTAGGGTGGGGAGACACACAGTGAGGGGCCAGGGCCTTGCTGCGGGAGGGACAGTAGGACAGGGAAGGCCCCAGATGTTCCTGTGTCAGGCAAGGAGGATACAGCCAAAGAAGCCAGTCATCGTAGTCAGTAAATAGCAATCACCTAGAAATCCATTCATGGGGGATCAGTTAGCTAAACCCTGTTACACTCCAGCAGTGCCCTATTACATAGCTATTGGAAAGAACAAGGTACAGCTGGGTGCGGTGGCGCCTACCTGTAATACCAGCACTTTGGGAGG